CCCCGAAGAAGAAACAGGTCTGCACGTTTTGGAAGAAGGGAAAGTGCACTAGGGGAGATAAGTGTCGTTTCTTGCATAGGGAACCGAGCCCTGCTCCCCCAGGTGGTGAAAACGCAGCCCCGGCCCCTAAGGGCCCAGACAAACCAAGGTCCCCGTCACCCGCGCCAACGCGCAGGAAACCAAGCCGTGGACGCTCTAAGGAAAAGGATAGGAAGGCCGCATGCTGCATCTCGCTTGCGGCTGCAGCCTCAGCTGGTCCTGATGAGAGTGAACCACAAGATGGGGACGAAGACTACTGGGAAGTAGACTTCAAAAAGGGGTGAAGCTGTTAGGCACCATCTGAAGTACAGAAGTACTATGTACAAGCCCGAAGTGTCATGTCCTGTTGCTCTTGAAAGGTTGAAGGGTAAGGCCAAAGTGATCAAGACGCTTCCCATTTCTCCGTACATTGCAAAGGAGAACTGGGACTGGAAAGAGGGAAGAGGGGGAACCGGCGATAGGACGCCGTGGACCGGCAAGACTGTTTTCAAGATCAAAGAACAAAACAAGAAGGTCAGGTTTTCCGACAAACCCAAAGTCAGGGAAATCCCCTTTGAGGGAAAGGGGTACAAACATTCCTACAAAGTTCGCAGGTACAATACTTGCTATGCTGATGCGGAAAACTGCCCTAAGCCTGACGCTAATGACCTTCAGGTTGCAATTAGGAACGCAAGGGAACTCAAGATGCTTCTTGCCCGGCATGAGGGGGGAGAGAAAACCGATTGCCACTTAGAGTGTGATGAGCCTGATTCTCTCATGTGTGGGATGTGCAAGCACGTCGTTGAGAGCTCAGAGATCGCTTGTCCAGGGATCGCCACACCCTTAGAATTCCTTGCTGACACAGGAAGCGAGGAGGACCTTATCAGCGATGCTGATCGTGCTATGTACTTCGGCGAAGAGCCAGTAGGCAATGCAACACGACAAGTGAATCTCATCACCGCTAGTGGTAACGTCAAAGGTGACAAGTCGGTTAGGATCGACTTCCCGGAGTTTGGCAAAGAGCTAGGGTTCTATGTTCTCAACAGCACCCCTCCTGTTTGCTCCGTAGGCAGAAGGTGCATGGAGGACGGTTATGAGTTCCACTGGTACCCCAAAAGGCCGCCTTACTTTGTTGCGCCCAATGGTCAAAGACTAAGGTGTAGAATGAGAGGTATGGTCCCAGTGCTAGGGGGAGGAGCAATGGCCGCTCCAAGCACTAAGGAGGAAGCCTCAAGTTCTCTCGGACGACCAATTTTGTCCGAGGGTTTTCAGAAAACTGCCGCCCAATAGGGCCGGCCGAGGCTTTCGCAGGAGCAGCAGAGGAGCGAGATCCAGTGGTCGAGCACCCCGATCCTGAGATCTCCGCAGCCATCAATGAGGTGCCGCCGATAGATATCCCCAAAGAGAAGCTCAAAAGACCAGGTTGGGTTTCGCACCCAAATGCTAAGTACTTGATTGTCGGACACAAACCAAAGACGTTTCGTACTGCTACACCAAGGTTTCCAAGATGCGAAGTCAGATCTACTTGGTTGTTCAGGGAAGGTTCTTGGGTCAAGGTTGAGGATAAAGTGAATGTCAGGGAGCTTGACAACAAAGTTGCCCGACTGGAGGGTAATCCAATCCTGAGCCTCACTATCTTCGAAGACCCCGACGTTGAACCTGACAGTGACAACGAAGGAAACGCCCGCAGTCTTGCAGAGGCCGATCTGAAAGCTGAAGCCAAATCTGTTGAGCACTTGTTCTCGCACAGGCCCAAGAATCCGTTCTGTGAGGTATGTCAGCGCGCAAAGATGTTGGCTCCCCAAGCCCGCAAAAGGGGGGCTCAAGTACCATTGTGTCCAAGGCCTTTGGGGATCACATCACTGTTGACCATATTATCACTCGTGACCTTCGTGATCATGGGTTCCAGGACGAAAGGGTCGCACTTGTTGTTAAGGACGTGTTCACCAAATTTCGTTACGTCTACCCCTCTCCGACTAAGTCAAGCGATCAGTGTTTTGAAGACCTTCTTCACTTCCTAGGTCAAGAAGATGCAGTTGGCGTTTTCTACTCAGACAACGCACCTGAACTTCATGCCGCTATCAAAAGCCTAGGTGTCCGACATGTTACATCCCGCGAATATGTGGACACCAACAAGTCGGTAATCGAAAGAGAAATTCGGACGATTTTGGAGGGTACCCGCTCCAACCTTGTTCAGGCGGGTCTCCCCGACAAGCTTTGGCCGTTGGCCGCCCAACACCACGCGATGGCACTTAATGCAACTAAGAGGCTTGACAACGGGATTGTTCCCTGGGAGGCCAGGTATGGGGAACCGTTTTCAGGGATCATGATTCCTTTTGGTGCACGTGTGTTGTACTGGAACAACCCCAAACAGAACATTCCTGCGAGCTCTAAGTTTGCGCCGACTGGTGTTGAGGGAATATTTCTTGGTTACCACGTTCAGCCTGGCTTCGTTTGGAAGGAGGAATACCTCGTCACCCCCGTCAAGGGTTGTGACTTTGCGTTCGAGATAGGAAACTTTCCTATTCTGAGGTCGAAGCGAATGGAGTTGTTGCCTGGGGATTTCACATTCCCAATGAGATCCGAACAGCTTGCACTGCAGGAGAGCCTTCGTAAGCCGACCCTCTCAGATCAGGACTGCTCGTGGGGAGGCACAGATGGTGCCGGACCACGCGCCCCGCCTGGGGATTCGCCGGACGAGCCTTTGCCTCCGCCCGGTGTGCCTGATTTGGACGGCTCCGATTTGAAGGATCGTTTGTCCGAGTACTTGGACCAAGTGGCTAAGGAAAACGAGGACTATGTTCCCGAAGATGTCGGAGCTGTGGAGGACTGGCTGGGGAGGGATGCTCCCGGATCTTCTAAGGAAACAACATCCGTGCCTAAGGCCTCATCTACTCTACCAAGACATGGCCCCAAAACCATGCCTGACGGGAAGAAAGTCCCCAAAGGGTATAACTGGGACGGGGTGAGGTTGGTTAGAGATAAGAAAGGTTCCAAAAGGCCACCTGATACTCCTTCGGAATTTTGGCACATGTATTCCAAGGCACAACGGGAGGCTGACATTGAAAGATTCGAACGCAAGAAGGCTCGTGAAGCCGAGGAAGATGCTCGCAAGGCCCTTAGAGACTCCCCGGCCATGCCTGTCATCGCCGAGCCTGACCCCGAGCCCCATAGGGATCGCATGGCGTCCTTGTATTGGGCCAAACTTGGTCAGGTTGCGAGTGAGATGTTTGCTGCTGTTGCCAGGGTTGTCGGGCCTAAAGAAATCGAAAGTACTCCCGCTGCGAAAGAAGCCATGGACCGAGAATGGAAGAAACTTGCCGATAAGTCTTGCTGGCTCGAAAAGAAGGTTCGAGAGTACCGGGATGTTGCCGCGGAAGCCAAACACAAGAATGTCAAGGCCCATTTCGGGAAAATCTTTGAGATTTGTTCGGTCAAGGGGGATGAACTCCCGGACGGGCACCCCCAGAAGAAATTGGAAGGGTCGTAGTGTTTTCCAGGGCAACAACGTCCAGGACGAAAACCACGATCACGCCATTTTCGCCGAACTAGGATCAAGCCCCGCTAGTATGGAGGCCGGGAAAATCATAGATGTGTTTGGTAGCCAACCCGGGTACGTCAAACAGCAGGCTGATGGCATCGCTGCATACACACAAGCCCTTTTTAAAGGCATCGAAACGTGGGTCCGCCTCCCTCGAAACAGATGGCCTAAAGAATGGTCTGGGTATGAAGATCCTGTTTGCCCACTCAGGCTCGCCTTGTACGGCCACCCTGACTCAGGTGGTATCTGGGAAAGGTACTGTACCGAACAGTTAGAGAGTGTTGGTTTTACTGCAGTTCTACCCGACATTTGGCATTCTGTATTCTACCATGCTGAACTAGATTTGTTGCTTGTTGTGTACGTTGATGACTTCAAGATGGCCGGCCCCCAAGACAAAATCAACAAAGGTTGGGAGTTGATCGCTAAGGTGATTGACATGGAACCAGCCGAGGTCTTGGGACGGTACTTCGGGTGTCATCACGTTGAGCAAAATCAGGTCCAGCTTTCACGGGAGGACCACCCATTTGCTTACGTCTTCGACAAGAAGCACGCTAGCCCAGCTGCCGACTACCAAGTCCGGCCGAACCGCAAAGAGGACTTCTGGGAGGTCGACGCTGAGTTAGCTGCAGTCGTTAGGCATCACATCTATCCTCGTAGGAAACTTTATGTGCCTACGCAGGACGACGTGTCGAAATTTCCCCACATAAGCTGTCAACGAATCACGGTGTTTGATGATGGTAGGGACCCTATCCATGATGACTTGAATCAGGGGGGCCCCGCGGACCAATCAGGTTGGTGGACTGGGAGAACATATTTCCCTATCACAGAGGTCAGTGACGAGGACTTTTCTCATGCTCTCGCAGCTAAGCACAATAAACCTAAGCGGTCCAAAGCCGAAGCTAAACGAGAAGCACGACAGAGTAAGTTCAAGAGCACTGAATCTATCAGTCAGGGAAAGACCCCTTCCATGACTGTACCCGTGAACGTTGTGTACTACGACATGCGGGATTTCTTGGTGTCATGTGTTGATAGGTACTGTGAGTTGGCCAAGGTCGACAAGAAATCCCTGAAGCACGTAGCGACTCCTTTTCATGAGAACCGGGTAGCAAAAGTTCTGGAGAACAATGAACCTAGTGGTAAGCTGCAACCTATTGCTAGCCGCGTACTCATGAAGATTTTGTTCGCTGCGAGAATGGCCAGGTGGGACTTGTTACGCGCCACTCAGGCACTGGCATCCAGAGTCACCAAGTGGTCTCGCGACTGTGACGTTGCTTTGCACAGGTTGATCAGTTACATAAACTCTTCTCTTGAAGTTCGGATGAGGGGATTCATAGGGGATCGCATTCAGGATTGTAAGTTGTGGATGTTCTGCGATGCTGACCACGCTGGTAGCCACGACAGTAAATCCACTTCAGGCTGTGCCCTTTACTTGGTAGGCCCCAATACTTACTTTCCCCTAAATGCTTTTTCCAAGAAACAGACCAGCATCACCACTTCAAGTACTGAGAGTGAGGTTGTGGCTGCCAACCAAGGTATTCGTGCCCAGGGTCTGCCCAGCCTCAGTCTTTGGATTTTCCTGTGGCGTGAGGTTGCGAGTAGGACCGCCAGCTACCAAGCTAGGCCGAAAACCAAACCTAACCAAAGGGAAAACGACGTCATTGCACGCATTGATCCTGAACTTGATGAGATCCGTTATGGTGAGTGTAGGGCAGATGGACGAAGCGTTTCCGATTTAAACGGCCTCAAGGTCCACCTTAGTCCCAAGTTTGCTGTTCAACTCCTTGAGGACAACCAAGCTACCATCACTATTCTCCTCAAAGGTGACAGCGAAAAACTACGTCACACCGATCGGACTCAACGCATTTCGTTTGCTTGGATCAAACAACAGTTCGAGCGTAACTTCTTCGAAATGATTAATGTTGACACCAAAGAGCAAGTAGCTGATATCTTTACCAAACCTTTCGCCGACCGAGGTAAATGGGAACATGCTCTAAGGCTCATCGCGCACGTCGATGCTCCTCTTCAGGGGGGACGGCAGTCTAAGGCACACGAGTCCGATGCTCATCTCATCAACGAGCCTGTCGTTCATGCTCACCCTGTGGTGAAGCCGTCGGGCGATCCTTGCGCAGTCGCAGCTGAGCTTACCAAGGACCGTGACTTCAGTACTAAGGCTTTGTTGCGTGTAGCCCAGATCATGTACCCCAACAAAACCAAGCGAAAGATGATTAAGCTTGACAATCGCAGCTACTACCATATCTTTGGGCAGTGGTCTTACGGAGGAATGCAAGGGGTGACTAAGGCAACACGTCGGTGGCCTCAGATTGCCCGCTTCCTAAATGGAGTTGTACAAGCCCATGCTCCTAAGGACTTCACATGGAACTCGGTGTTGCTTAATAGCTGTACTAGTGCCTCTGTGCACAAGGACCATGGGAATGCCAAGGATAGCATGAGCTTTGCCCTCAGTGTTGGGGATTTCAAAGATGGTGAACTGTGGTTTGCGGACCCCCTTGTCTCATCTGAAGATGCTATTGTTAGGGTCGGCCCCAATGGTAAGCGCCTTAAGGGTCGTGCTGTGTCCACCCTGAACCGAGCCATCATCTTTGATCCGCGAAATCTACACTGTGTGTTACCTTTCACTGGAACACGTTTCTCCATTGTTGCGTACACCTCCCGATCACAAGACGCACTGCAAGATCAAGAGCTCAATTCTTTGAAGTCGCTTGGATTCAGGCTGCCCCCACGTGCGGCCAGCGCTGCTTCTGCCCGAGAATACTCGAGGCCGTTGGGGTTCAAACGAATCATAGTCGAGTTTTGTTGCTCCCCCAACAGCAAACTAGGGCAGGATCGTAGCGCACGTCAAGGATGTTATGTGTTGCGAGTCACCAGTGAGGATGACGTCTTGAAAGACTCTACATTGACTTCAATTGTTCAGAAAATTAGTACCCTCTGCGACGAGGGGGGAGCATCTAAGCCAATTTTAGTTTATGCGTCGCTTCCGTGTACTGGTGGTTGTCCGTGGAATCGCATGACGCCTGACAGCCCAAAGTGGGAACAGCATCAGGAACTGTTTTGCAAACTCCTCAAGCAGTTCCGAAAATTCATTAGGAAGCTCAAAGAGTACAAACCACAGGTTGCCTTCGAACTCCCTAAGGATTGCGACTATTGGAAGTGGGACCATGTTCAGCATATGGTTAATGACCTTGGACTTGAGTTCTACCGTTGCGATGGTTGCATGTTGGGGATTACGAATCACCAAGGATTACCACTAAGGAAAGCTTGGACCATTGCGTCGTCGATTCCATTGCAGCGGCTGGCAGCGCACAAGTGTGATCGCAGTCATGTTCATGGCGAGTCTAGAGGCCAGGACCTTAAGGACAGTGAGAACTATTCACATGCCATGACTGATTGCATCCACATTGATTGGAAAAGCTTTTGCGATAGGCGTTCTAATTATGCGGCATGTGCACAACAACAATTTTCGTGTAACCACAAACACGTTTGCACTCGCAAAACTGAACAAACTAACGCATTAGCTGCCTGCTGCATTCTCGCGGCAGAGTTCTGCGCGCCGGACATGGAAGCCACCAACGCTGGAATCGTGGCACCGACGGAGGTCCTGCGCCAGTGGTGGGATCGGCGGTTATGGGAGACTTCATTGTCTTCCGAATACCGCACCATGGCGCCTTTCCAGGAGGATGAAGCCAGCGTGAACAACTTCTACAAGTATTTGCCGCGGCCACTGGCATGCGAATATGCCCTCAGTGACGTCAGGGAGGCTGGTTTGGTGGCCAAAATCGGAAAGCTCACCGATCAAGGCTTGGCCATGCTCCAGCCCGAGTCTACTCGAGGCCGTTTGCGCTACCTTGTCATCGTCGCAGACTCTACAACTACGTTCCTCACTGAAGGAAATTGGAAGACAGATCTGCTGGCAGACATCAAGGCCAACCGCGGCAATGCCTTCCCACATCATCTTGGCGTTGAGTACATTCCTACATGGGGTGCGAATCTCACGCGGCTCGTTGAGCTCGCCGTGGGAAAAATCACCCAACTGGAGCGTGAAACTGGCGCCAGTGGTCAGGTGAGCATTGACCTCATGATGATCTGGAACGGGAACGAGTTCGTCGGCGAAAGAGGTCTGTTTTTGGACCCAGGCTTCAAGAGCAAGACGGAGTGGCTTCGTGGTTACCCGCACATGGCAAAGGGGAGCTGGGAGTTCATTGGACCAAAGGTTCTCCGCGAGATAGGCAAGTTGGCGGATCTACAGTCACGGGCGTCAGTGGGTACTGTGCTGCTCACGTCTGCGACCGACGCTGCCAACTACTACCTCCCGCGCGATTGGGGTACCATCATGGCGGATTTGCTCGACTACGCCGCCCAACTTGGGCTGGCCGTCAAGCGTTTCAATACGCCTGCGAGCCAGATCTGCAAATTCGACCACTTTCACTTCCAGGAGGACAGCGCCTATCGTTTGCAGCTGTTGAGGTGGTTGGGTTTTACCGCCAGGATTATGGTCCTTCGTCACCAATGCTCCTTTTTCAAGGAAGCCGACATCGACCTGGTCCTGCAGAACTACGGCCACGTCTCAAAGCCTAACGTCAAGTTCGCTGTGGACGTGCAGGTGGAGGAGAAGCTCCTGAACCACTTCCGTAGAGGAAGAGTAGAGCCCACACATCAGCCGCTTGTCGAGGCTGACCCGTGGGACGACATCTACTTCCAAGGACCCCAGGAGCAGTTCCCCGACACCGCGCCGAACCACTTTGTCCACCGGGACTTCAAGGACCACGTTCACCTATGAGATGGGGAATATGTTACCCGCGAGGACTACGACGAGATGATCAAGAAGAGCGAGGAAAATGCCCCCCGCCCAGGGGAGGCCGTCGCTGTTCCGTCATCGTCGTCAACGGCGCGGGAGACTAAGGAGAAGCTTTTGGCCAGGGGGGAGGTCTACA